GAAAATAGAAAGAAGTCATCGTGCTCTACGTTTCAAGATGGAATATGATTTTTTTAAAATGGCTAAAAAAGGTCTAAATTGGACGAAACCACTACCTGAGTGCCAGAGAATTTTAAACGAGGAACCCAAAGATGGTTTAATGTACAAATCTCCGTTTGAAGTATATTTTGCACGCAAACCTAGTTCCCATACTAACCGAACTATGGAAAGTGAAGATTTAGTAAGTGAAGAGTTGGTAACAAATGCTGGCAGATGCAATCCAACCTGCAAGGATAGATATCACGTCGTTGTTGAAGAGCTGAAGATGTCCGAAAAGTGGCTTATGCTGCGACTGAACGTTGCTATCGAAGAATGGGTAAGACGCACTTAAAATCAAATCCTCCCTCAAGATACAGAATAGGTAAGAAAGTTCACGTCCGACACAGTAAAAAGGGCAAAACGTCAAGAAAACAACAAGTAATAGTAGAAGAAGGAAATCTAAAAAAGTAGTCATACGAAGTCTCGTTTAAGTCGCCGTCATCTGAAAGGCGTGAACGACGGTGGTTCAGTGTTGTGGACATCACAAGCCTGACTCTCAGAGAAAAAAACCTAAAGCAAAAAGCGGCAAGAATTGAAAAAGAAAAAAGGAAATAGCACAGGGAAAAATTTCTTGTTCCAGTGGGAAGTGACGACTACCTTAAGATAATAGAAGATCAAGGACATAAATTAGTATACAATCCCCCAGGGAACGGAAACGCCGGTTTGCAGCTTTGGAATATTATCTTAGTTCACTGGGGATCTTAAGGTCGCCAGAAACCATCAGGGAGGAAATTGTTAAATATCTGGAAACACACCCACTAGATGAAGATGGTTTTCCGTTGTACGAATGGGTTCCACTCTTTGACTCATGGCCAAAGCACCTTACCCTCATGGCACAAGACAACACCTACGGCGACCAACTGACGTTATGCGCTGCAGCTAACCTCTATAACGTTAATATTCATATAGTATCATCGCTTGGTGCTGGTGCTAGCCATGTGTTTGATCCCGGCTTAAATGTTCCAGCAACAACACGTTTCATTGTACATTTTGAGGAAAACCACTTTGAACACTATATCGCACTTAATGGTCTGACCCAAGAAGAAAATATTGTCGTTGACGTACCCGTTGAGAGCATTGCTAATCATGAAGAGGAAAATCATACCAAGTGTCATAATAATGATGAAGATCGGAAAGAAGGAGGACAAAATAACAACGTTGGTCATGATCAGAGAGAAACAGAAGAAGAAGAAAATGATGATTGTGATTATGATGATAATGGTGGTAGTGATGCTAATGGTGGTCCAACCAGTCAACTTCCAAATGAAATACTCGACAAAATAATAGACTTCGCGTTAACTGGAACTGTCATAATTATTATTATCACCTATAATTCCCTTTGGCAGTTAGGTGAACCCCCTTAAAGAACTCACAATGTGTTATATTTGTCGGCTACCACGAATAAGCTACAACCATCGCGACACTGAGCGAAATGGCTGTTTCAGCTTGCGCAAGTTATGCAAAGAATTTGGCCCATACAGTGGATTTGTGATGGCTCTTAAAGAGATAATAGCCAGCCCCAGATGGATAAATGCGTGCGTTGAGCTGTTGTTTGCTGGGGTTGAAACTTGGTTTTCTGTTACCAATGTATGGTGGAAAGGACGAGGGAGCAATTAAAGTGCACTTACTTGCACCTATTTGTTAACAGACAAAGTATAAACAGTTTAGCTGATGTTGTGTTATCGACTCAGATTAGAAATCATGCTGGCACTACAAGCTGCAATTTTGACATTTTTGGCCTTTGCCTATGAAACTGATTTTTAGTTCAATCGAATGGATGAAGTTACAGTTTCTTTACAAAATTTGCTATAATAAACGAGGCTCCTTTGTTTTGTTACGTAAGTTTTAAGATACGTCAGTCCTGTTTTGACATTAAAGAGTTCTTAAAAAATTTACNCCAATGTATGGTGGAAAGGACGAGGGAGCAATTAAAGTGCACTTACTTGCACCTATTTGTTAACAGACAAAGTATAAACAGTTTAGCTGATGTTGTGTTATCGACTCAGATTAGAAATCATGCTGGCACTACAAGCTGCAATTTTGACATTTTTGGCCTTTGCCTATGAAACTGATTTTTAGTTCAATCGAATGGATGAAGTTACAGTTTCTTTACAAAATTTGCTATAATAAACGAGGCTCCTTTGTTTTGTTACGTAAGTTTTAAGATACGTCAGTCCTGTTTTGACATTAAAGAGTTCTTAAAAAATTTACTTCATTTCATGGACCTCTGTTCTCAAGTGTTATTGATAACAACGCTAACTATTAGAACCTATTTACAGTTAATCACTATGCGGTCAAAGGACTATTTACAATTCATTTCGATTAAACTTTCTTTTCAGTTAATAATGACAATAAAAATAACAATGATAATGATAATATCAATAATAATAAGTTGTTACTCAAATGGCTATGTAGCGGATCTGCCTGGGGTATTTAGTGTTTGATATTCCTTAGACACTTTCTAGCGCTCAGTTAACCTGTAATAAGGCTAAAAGCAAACACTATGAAATCTTTTTATGACCCTGAGCATATAAAGTGCTGAAAGAATTACACTTAGGACCTTTATTACATTTAGGGCCAAAAGTTATTACATTAAGGACCTTTATTACATTTGGAGCCAAAAGGTATTACACTTAAGACCTTTATTACATTTAGGGTCATTTATTACATTTGAGGCCTCAACAGCCTTCCCTCACAAACTGCTCCCCAACCCGTTTTAGCGGCATCACTGGTGAGGGTTATGTCAGGAGTGGTCTTCATTATGGGTTTATAGGACAAAATGACATTATCAACCCACCAATTTAAGTCTAGTTTGGCCTCATTTTGTTAAGCTCATAGTTGCATCATAGTCAACCTTGCTTGTTTGTAAAGCAAGAATCTTGCTCTGTTCTTCCTGTCTGTAATGTAACTCCCCAAAACAGGATACTATCCGCTCTATAACCTGGGCCACCCCCCTAATAGTAGGGGTGGTCTGGCATAACAGGTTCTCACATGCCTGTTTAACATTAATAGCTTTTCTGGGTGGAAGTGGGATGGTCATGAAGTCACTATTCAGCAGAAACCCACGAATTTATTTTTGTTGCATGGGTACAAACACTGATTTAGGGACAGGTCGCACTAGAGCAAATTTTAACCCTTTCACTGCCAGAGTGTTTGATGGAGTTTTGTCTCTGGACGAAATCCTATGATGTGTCCATTCAAATGAAAGCTCTCTGCCTGTACTTACACGTGGTGCTGTTTGTTTTTCAGAATTTTACAAAATGAAATTTGGAAATCTGGTCGAAATTTGCCTTTGGCTACATTTGGCAGTGAAAGGGTTAATACCTTCAAAGTTTTTGCTGATAATTTTTTGAGAATAAAATGTCTCGGTTCCAAATTTTGGGATGGGTCGCATAAAGCAAAATTATTTTCCAAAACCCCGGTGATTGACGTAAACATCAATCATATAAATAATCTCATCATCTAGGAGAGTTCGTGTTTACTCACTTCACGGAGCATCAAGCGAAAATGGATCGTCGCCATATGATTATTTTCGCGGCATTCGGCTTTTTCTTGGATCTTCTGTATTTGTGCAGTTTTAGTACTGGTCATGGAATATCAACAGGCCTTCCTGCAGTTGGCTGCAGCTTTTAGAAGAGGTAGATTGCGCTTCAGTCGACATCGACTACGAAAACGTTCATGAGCTTGGACTTTACTGCAACCAGAATAGTCTTGGGTTGAGATACATTTTCTCGACAGAAACCATTCCCGGAGAGTACTTTTGACAGCAGCTGAGAATGGACAGAGACCTTTCAAGCCGCCATTGGCACCCTGGGACCATGGTTAACCAGGCATAACCCGCGATTCAGGGACTGCATTTCACCAGAAAAGGATTTGGCAAATACAGACATTTCGAGACCTGTCTCGAGTGCCGAACATCGTTGGAGCAATCGATGGCACTCATATAAATAATGGTGTTGGAACATATGTCAAAAACTTGTAAAGTTGCGTGGGATTTTTGTCAAAAAAGCAAGTCACCTATCTAGACGCGTTAAGGGGACTCTAACGAACATGAAAAATGTTGTCGGCAATTTTTTAACTTAATTGCTTAACAGATACGTTTTCAAGTGAGATACACTATTATGTGTCATAGGAGTAATTCTGATAACAATCTGTTGAAATGAAAGATAGTTTTCAGGTACTTTAAGGTCCAGCCTCGTGTCCATGCTAGAATTCAAACGTCACATTATAAATCCACCCTTGTGGCTATCGGTGCAAGTTACAAAATTGCCGACAACATTTTTTATGTTCCTTAGAGTCCCCTTAACACAACTAGATAGGTGGCTTGCTTTTTTTTCAAAATTCCGACGGGATTACAGATGCTCCCAGACTATAAATGCACCTCGTGAAGACTTTGGCATTCAGGCAGTAGCAGATGGGAACATGCACTTTCTGGATTATTCTGCTGGCTGTTCAGGAAGTATGCATGATGCCCTTATCTTGCAGAACAGCACATTATATCAAAGAGCTGAACGAGGACACATACTTACTAGACATATTTACTAGGTGACAGTGCTTACCTGATATCTCTGTGGCTGCAAAAGCCATTCCCTGAGGCAACAAGGGAGCGGTCTGAAATTCAGTTTAACTGCGAGCTATCGAGTGCTAGGGTCAAAGTAGAGTGCACATTTGGCTGCCTGAAATCTTGGTGGAGAATTTAACAAAAGCGACTTGATAGCGACATACCATTCTCTGTCAAAACCGCCATTACCTGTGCTGTGTTGTACAACTTTGGTATCAAAATGGGAGACGATTGGCATGACGATGGAAATCCTGATCACCATGTTTGTCCTGATGACAACAAAGGTGTTGCAGGAGATGGAGACGAAATCAGAGACATCTTAAAGGAATTTCTTTAGATGTTCATTGCATTAATTTTAATGTTGAAGAAACGCTTTATTGCAATGAGTACTGCCAATATAATAACAAAATCCCAATTAATGCCATTATTTTAAAGAAATCAGGTGTAGAAACCGCGTGTTGTTTATTAATTCCAAGAGCAACTGTGTTGTTACACAATAACATGTACTTTGTTATATCTTCAGTGTCCACCAATAAATTGGCCCATCATTGCCATTTGTTGTTGCTGTGTTTGCGAAAAATTCACCATAAAAGTATTTAGTTTTCCCCCGCATTTCTTAAAGGTAGCCATACTCTCTTGAAACTCCCGTCTTTCCTTTCTTCCCCTTCTACCAAGTCTGCAGGACTTCTTTTTCTTGTGTTTTTTTCCTATTACTTCTCACTTCTTTCTTCTTTTGCTCCCCTGCATCTTCCGTCAGTTTTCCAGACTGATCACCTGAAGCTGCGCTGCTGGCTTATAAAGAAGTTGGGCTTGAGCTTGCTTGCGTGCTTGTTGTTCCCACTTTAGACACATGGCTCAACGTAACAATGTCACGGCAGCCCAAGACGGCGTAAATTTCATGGTAAAATAAGCTTTGCTTCTTAGAGCCTCCAGACAGCTTCCTGTTCCATTCCCTTGCCTCTTTATATCGGTCGGTTAAATATTTCATTTTCTTTATGCACTTCTCAATAGTCTTGCTGGTTGACGTCCTCACATATTTTCCTCCATGCCGTCTGTGACTCTCGACTTTCTAGTAATTTGTGCTTTTCTGCCCAAGACTGAACAAGAAGTCGTTTTTGGGCTTGGCTCTAGGTGTCATTTTTTTCCCTTTTTTCTTACTGCTTCCACTCAGCTTTTTGAGGCTTCCAGCATTGCTTGGTTCTTCGGTAGGTGTAATCGACGACCTAGAGGAACTCGATCTTGATGCGTGGCTCTGCTGTTCTTTGCCGAAATAACGCCATTAAAATCGGTCTGAATTCTTAGGATAGGATCCGTAGACGTACACTGGATATGAGTTACCATAATTTCCGTTCCTTTTGTACAAAGAAGTGAAAGAGGCAGAGGGATCAGGGAAAAAATTATTTTGCCCCGCCATTGCGCTCGTGAAATTTCTCGCCTAAATTTAAGACCAAAACAACTATGGGTGAATGACAGCTTAATGCTTTAATAAACAAAAATTGCTTCTATTGCCAAAATTCGGTAGCCTCCCGGGCAGCATTTGGGCTTCTTTGAAGATTGGTGGAATTTTAGCACTCCGCAAAAAATTGGTCATTTTTTGGAATGTGGGGTCGCAATAATTTCTTGTCATGTATTGACAGATTAATTACTTAAATAAACAAAATTCGCTCTAGTGCGACCGGGCCTTAGTGGGATGAATAACAAACCCCAGACTCTAAAATGTGCAGTCAACCTGCACAACATTTTCCACACATGACGTAAAGTTGTATCCTATGAGAAAAGAGTCATCAATGTTATCCATACAAAAATTGCCTTGGGATCTAAGGTAAGCATAAACCGGCTTTAACGGCTTTTTTAGACAATAGCCTTGGGGCACAAGCAAGCCCATTGGGGAGAAAAGTAAACGGATAATAATTTCCCTTCCATTAAAACTTAACAAAATTGTGGATCCTCTTCTACCACAGGGATAGAATAGTAAGCGTCTTAAGATCAATTGATGCTATAAAGCATTCCGGTCACATAAGCTGAAGGGTAGCGCAGATGGTATCCATTTTAAGATGGTAGTATGCAACAAACTCATCGAGGGATTTAAGATTGAGAATGAGTCTGTGGCTCCCATCTTTCTTTGGTGGCACAAAAATAGTGGAAATAAAATCACCTTGAAAAGGCTCAGATGGTTCTATTGGAGAAGAGGTTTGCAATTTCCCCATCAATGATCTCTTTTTCCACAAATGAAAAAGTGACGGCAACCCTCAAATTCTAACGCTTAATGGCATCAAGGATAACTTGATCAGTAGTAACTGATTTCCAGTTGGTCCTTGACACACCCTGCTGGAAAATTAAGGACCAATTAAGATGGGCAGTCTCTGTCAACAATAGGTGTTATCTGTTTTTTGACCTCATTAGTTATTGATCGTTCCGGAGAGGGATTTGTTGTGGGCAGTCGTTGGTGCGCGGCTGTTGGCTAAAAAAGACTTTTGTGGGTTAGACTTTCGTGTGCAGGTTACCCTTATGTGCTATATAAGGGCTTTGTGGAGTGTGGCCTGTTGAACCTCTGCTTTTGGGCCTTGTAGCCCTGATTTGAAGTGCGGGCAGTAGGCGCTTTTTTGCATCTGTTTAAACGCCATTTTTACTTGGAGAGATCATCCCCAAAAAACTTGATTGAAGGTTTTATATCCTTCTTGCATAGCCGGGTATAAGATGGATTTATCTCAGGCTTGATGAGTTCCTGTCTCTTCGTATTAAGTTTATAATGTGCATTGCAGAGCAAAGCAATGCTATCCATGATAACAGTGAGAGTTTTCCTCGTATCAGGTGGTTCACCAGACTGAATGGAGCTCACTAGCTTTCCACTCAAAACACATAAAGCAGACAGGTCCGGTAATAGAAGTTCCTGTACTATCCACCGTTCGGCTCCGCCGAGGGGGTAAGTCCCAAACCTTCTGCTTAGGTACTTTATATTTTCCGGCGAAGGACACTTTCGGCGCTCTCTTTGACTGTGTTAGCCGAGAGGCCACCCGTAAGCATAATTTCAGTGAGCTCTGCAATTTTTGCCTTACTAAGTGGAGATTTCTTCGTGTTTAGTAGATATGCCTGAGTCAGGTTTTCAACGATGTTTCTTTGGCTCTGACGCTCTGGATCGGAGCGATTGTCAGAAACCACATTTGTCATAGGTTCTGCTCTTCGATTGCTGAATCGTCTTGGAGAAGGAGGTCTTCTTTAAGATCGGCCAGGGCTGCTGTATGGGCTTGAGAAGCCTCCGTTCATTTTGCCACGGCAGTAGTCAAATTCGCCAGCATGTTCGCGATGTCGGTCTGGTTCTGTTCGTGCAATTGGGGCGAAGGCCTCGTTGAAATTTCCCTTGGGCGACCTCCTCACCGTGTCCACTCTTAATTCCTTGGGCACTCTCCAAGCAAAAATCAAGCGAAAATTTGCCTCCTAGGAACAAAGCTGCAAAACTGATATATCACCCGCCAAAAGCAATGATTGTGCGCATGCTCATGAGATCTCTGGGAAAGAGGTTGAAGGGCCACCTCTCCTCAACAGTCACCTTTTGTTTGTGCCCAAGGTGGCCATTGTAGAGATATCTAACTGCAGTTTTAAAAACACATGAAAAATGTAGACTTCTAAGACATGCAACCTACAGTAGAGTCATTTATCTACTTCATGTGCCATATTTCGAGAAGAAGGCTGGAGTTGGTCAGCGGTTGACAAGCGGTTATGGGGTAGGAACGTCATGTATGGGGAATTATGGAGGCCCCTCGGCGGTTCCGTCAACTTTTGTAGTTTAAGCTGTAGTTTTTATCTCTTTATCGCTTTTTTGTTGATATGGTGCCAGCCTAACCTAAAGTACAAAGATGGATTTTTGATTTACCCTAATTAATGCAACCTTTATAGCTATCTGGTATTTTTTTGTTTGTTTTGTTCTATTTTATTTTTCAATTCCCAGCAGCGTGGCCCCTCCGGGGGGGGGGGGAATTGTTATTTTTCCTTTAGAAGGCTGCAAATGCCCCACGGAGGAGTTGAGAGGCGAATTCAGACAAAAACCCGACCGTGGGGCTCAAAAATTTTGGCAAATATACAACCCTGCTGAGGAGAAGGCAAAACTAAAGTTTTTCTGGTTTTCTTGAAAGAAGCTTAAGCGCGCATATCCTTGGTCATAAACGTTTATTTGTGAACGAAATCTACACTGAAGGTTTCCGTTAATTTACAAATTCTCTTTCTACAGTCGACTCCCGACAACTCGAACCTCCAAGGGAAATCGAAAAAAGGTTCGAGTTATCGGGAGTTCGACTTACCGGGAGTTCGAAGAAAATGGCCGAGAGTAAGGTCAAAAACAGTTTTTACTGCACAGTGAACATTTTGATCTCATTTAATTGTAGAAATGTCTAGTGAAAATTAAAAGATACTTTTAGATTATAAATCAGAACGTAACGTAACAAAACATGGCCTAAATAGAGCATGCGTTTTACTGTTTTGAGAGGAAAAGCTGCTTCACATTAGCCTGTGACAATCAACATTAGCCTCCACTAGTAAACTATACTCCTACAACTCGTCAATAGGAAATCCAAAATTCAATGTTTCGGACGCCAGTAGACGGCTTTTTTTCCGACCTTTTAAGGGCTCAAAACATGGTTCGAGTTATCGAGGGTAAAATTATATAGAAAATGACCTGAAGGGAAACGAAAATTGGTTCGAGTTAGCGGGAATTCGAGTTATCGAGAGTTCGAGTTACCGAGGGTAAAATTACAGTGAATGTATGACGGAAATCCAGGGGAAATCGATTTTGGTTCGAGTTAGCGCGGGGTTCGAGTAAGCGAGGCTTCGAGTTATCGGGAGTCGACTGTACTAGCTTTATTTTTTAGCCGTTACAGCAGGTGACTATGTTTACGATAACTTGTGTTTCTATTATTTTCTCTTCTCAATATCAGGCACTTTGCGTAAGTTCACACACTCATTGCAACCGTTTAGATTTTAAAGAAAAGAA